CACATGTAACTCATGGCCGGTGCAGGCCTCTTCCACCTTAACTCCGTCCTCAGCCTAGACGCCAATTTCTTCTTCAACCTCCCTTTCTTCTTCATGTGGTATCACCCCTGGGAAATGATCAAGAACTCCTCCTGCTTCACTTTCGTCATCCTCCACAACTTCTTTCTGCACCCTTTCTTGCTCTTCTTCTTCTATCATGGATTGGAGAGCAAGTTGCCAAGCAATTTCTTTCATGAGATCTTCTTGCATCTCCTCACTCATGCCCGCCTCTTCAAAGCTCGGTGTGGGATGTGGGAAGGTGTGGTCGGCTATGATAGGACATTCCTGATCATGATCATCACGAGAGCTCTCCGTGACAACTTCAGTGTGCTCCACAATGTCCTTATAGCCTTCTTCTTCCTCCTCCTCTTCTAGTATGGTAACATAAGGGTGATCTGGAGCAGGTTGTGCACAAGATCGCTCAAGATCATCGACGCTCTTCTTAAGGCTCAGGAGGATCTCCTCTGTTTCACGATAGGCCTGGACACAATGATCCATCCTGGAGCATGATCTCTCACAGTCTCGAGAAAACTGCTCCATGAGAAGCCTCAATTCATAGTTTGGATCTGGCTGTGGCTGTGGAGTGTAGCATGGCTCTGCAGAATGGCCCGTGAAGGCCGTCATGGGTAACTCCAGCTCCAATGGCCCCTCTGGTTGTGGGAGAAATTCTTCTCGATAAGGAGGTTGTTCATGATATGCCTAGGGGTCTGATTGTTCTCCGTAGAAAGGGGGTTGGTACTGGAACCCGACTCCATAGTCTTCTCCTCCTTGGTTACTCCAGGAAGTCTCGGGGTAATACCACTCGGATGGTGGTGGATACCCCCAATGATTGGAGAAGTCATGAGGGTCCATGATTCAAATCTGCACCAACAAAAACAAAAAACACCCAAGTGAAAAGAAAGGGCGGAAAACAAAAGAAAAACGCTAAAGTAACAAACTTCTGCCTTTCCTAATAATCTAGAAAATCCCCGGCAACGGCGCCAAAAACTTGACACGCTAAAACACAACACCTAACAATGGCCAAGTGTAACAAATGAAAGGGACTGTAGTATAGTGGCACAAGTAATAAATATCGAATCCACGGGTCTCTAGAGTTACTATTACTCAGCTTCAGTTCATTATCTAGCAAACTGGATTAAGGATTGATTAACTAAACTAGTCTACTAACTAAACTAAGTAAAACTACTAATTACAGTTTGGGAACTCACTTAGGTATGATTCCCCCTAGCTCCTCAATTAGGTCCAAGTTGCAATTACCTCTGGTTGATCTACTATTGATTAAAATGCGGAAGATCCTAAATTAGCTTGGAATCTCTTAAGCTGACCAAGCCCTCTCAGTCCAACTACCCGGCAGACGACTAGTCTTCACCAGGATAGAAAGCTGAGGCTATGAACACAGAACTCCACTAGTGGAATGAATTCCAGTACAAAGCTGTGAATTGATTGACTCTCGCACAACCAATTCACCACTATCAATCAAGGAAGCTCTCTTAACCTAATCAGATTCTATCTATCATAGGTTAAAGCAGAAATCAAGAGAATTTGATCAAGATTCAATTGACTCAATAAATCATGCCTCAATCGATTATAATCAAACAATATAGCATCCAAAACTTCATACAAGAAAGATCCTAACACATGGAACTAGGGTTCCTCAAAACCTAAGTGAAGGGAAGTTACTCCATAGAGAAGAGAGAGACTGCAGAAATCTGATCTAGATCTTCAATCTCCATCCCTAAGCTTGATTCCTGAGCTCCAATGGCGAAGAAATTCTCCACAATAGCTCCAAGAATGTTACCAAGTCGCTCTCTCTCTCTCTAGGGTTCGTCCCTTGGGTGTTTGGGAACCAAAAACCCAGCTCTCCCCTTTCCTTTTGCTGAAAATCGGGTTTTAAACAGGAATTCCCGATCACGCGGCCAGGCCACACGGCCGTGTGGCTTTCCCAGATGCCCGTGTGAAGGCTCGGTGATTTCCACGCGGCCACGACCCACACGGCCGTGTGGAGTTCCAGGATGCCCGTGTGGCTTGCTCAGCCTCTGTTTAATGCTTCGTTTCTCCCTCGTCCGAACTCCGAATCAGTCGCCGTTTGATCCCAGACGCTCGTAGTCTCGTCCTCTTTCTTTGCATGACAAGCTTGCATGATTATTTTTCCATAAAGTGAATTAGAAATCCATTCTTCTTCAGGTCATGCCCGAGTTTCTTCTCTCGAATCGTCAATTGATCTCTGATTGACTTGAAACTTACGCCTATGCTTCACTTTATGTGCTAGGACATGAAATATGAAAAAGGAACACAACCTAGAGTAAAATAGGCCAAAGACACGATAATTCAAGCTCAAACAATCAAGCAATGGCCGCCGTGTTTGGTGACTGGGAAGAATCATATGCATTCCTTCCCAGATTGATTTTGGCATTGTTGGGATCTAACCCTGTCACCGTTTTCTCTCCCCGCTTCCAAGATGAAGAAATTCAGTCGTCGGAGCCCGGTAACAAACGCCATTTCAAGCGTCTTTTCTGGTCATTCAAGCCATCTATTAATGGTTTTCCATTCTGTCTTCCCGTGATTCAAATGGATGGAACATACATTACCGGCAAGTACAAGGGTACTCTAGTGATCGCCAGCGGAGTAGATGCAAATAGATGCGTATTTACATTAGCCTTTGCCATTGTTGAGGGAGAGAATACCGACAGCTGTGGATGGTTCTTCAGACAAATTCAACTCCCTTTTATGGCGGTACTAACCGTGTGGCGCTCCATATGAAATGCTGCCAACCACTCATATTCGCAACAACTTTAGCTTGTGGAGTAGAGTCCACACAAATAACATCGCCATCGATGGGGAAATCGGTTAGGATGGCAACGTCCTTAAGTGTGATAGTGCACTCGCCTTCACGAAAATTGAAGTAATGTGTCTCCTTTCGCCATCTCTCTACCAATGTCGTGATGAGTTGGCGGTCGATCTTTATTCCATAAAAGTGCTTAATGGGATCCAATCTTGCCCTTCTTAGAAAGGACAAGATGACGTCGTTCCATGCGAGCACAGTCGTCGTACCCCTATAGCGAACTATATGTTATGCATCCTAGCGAATAATTTAACTTTCACTATAAGTTTATTATTTATACATATATAAATCTATTATAACAAACAATATCCATTAATGAAATCAAGGTTTTTTCCCAAGAAATATACATAATTTAAAAAACATTAATATTAAGCTAACTAAAATGAATACCAAATTTAAAATTTAAATAAAATTATTTTTGTACACATACAGATAAAATCAAATATATTATTTTGCACTTCGTATTGATTGTTTTCAATAATTTAAAGCAATACAAGTACACTCGTAAGACTCTTAGGAGAGGTATACATCTCTTTAGAAACACAGCCTGTTTGACAGAAAAAGAGAGGATTCGAGGATCGCTTAGAACTCAATTTTCCCAGGAAATGGGAGGATCATGATGATCGCTTAAGACCCCATTTCCTTAGGCATGCATTTCCTTATAAAGAGTCTAATTAAGTGACACATTGTATTGATTTAAATTATTGAAAATAATCAATACGATTAACAATTAACAAATTTATTTTACAAACCAATAAATTATGTTAACTAAATAAAAATTACAAGTGATGATAAATAATATGTACCTTGTGGTCGTTCCAAACGTCCTTGAACGATGATTATCTTGGTCGTATACAACAGTTGGATCAATCGGTACTTGATCAACATAATATTTTTGATTGTATATATCAACATTCTCCCCAACCTACGATAGCATAACAACAACATAAATCAATTAGTATATAGATTAAATAAATTCATTACAACAACAATAAAAATTAGGTAAAATGAGTACGTATCGCTTGATAATCATCATAGTAAATACCCTCTTCTTCGGAAAAAAACGGCCATTTTTTCAGGAACCCGACAAAGTTTCGACGGTTTTTTAATGAAAAACCAAAGAATTTTTCTTTAGGGCAGATCAAACTTAACCGCAACCAACAAACCACTATTTCTAAGGTTTTTGGGTGGAGAGCGGGATGGGTAGAGTGATAAACTTAGAGAGAGAGAGCATATTGGTTTTGGTGTGAAGAAAATGAGAGGAAGGGGTGGGTATTTATAAGGTAAGGACCGCGTAGTGGGTGGGAGGGGGGTTGGTATTTTTACCCCACAAAAAACGCGCCCCCGCACACGGTTTGTTTTTCCCAAAGCCAAAACCGTGTCGTCGGGGAACGGTTATAAGGCTGAGATGCGGATCGCTCCGCTGGCAGGCAGTTAGCCGTCGGATCGCCTCTCAATCGCATGGTTGCATGGACTGCCACGTGGAAGAGCGGTTTTGCAGCTGCAACCGCCTGTTCCCTGCGCGGTTTGAAGGAGAACCGCGCTTTCGAGATGCAGTTTTTGATTAATGGTGGTACTTTTGGAATTTTGTTAAGTTGGTTGGTATTTTTGTAATTTTTTTTTGGGGAAGATGGGAGTATAACGTGATTAATGCGCGGTTTGAAGGAGAACCGCGCCTTCGAGATGCAGTTTTTGATTAATGGTGGTACTTTTGGAATTTTGTTAAGTTGGTTGGTATTTTTGTAATTTTTTTTTGGGGAAGATGGGAGTATAACGTGATTAATTTCTTATAATGCTTCAGAGGCATAAAAAATTAAAACATTCGTGAACGGCAGGATTCGAACCTGCCGCGGGCAAAGCCCACATGATTTCTAGTCATGCCCGATAACCACTCCGGCACGTCCACTTATTGCTTATAAAGTTAGCCGTATTTTATATATAATATATAGCCGATCAACAAATCAAGCCGAAGCTTTGCCGAACTTTCTTAAAGCATTTGCATACTGTCCGCTCCCCCTCTCCCTCTCGAGACTCCGACCCCTGCCTCCTACATTTGCTCAAATGCATCATATTTCTTTTTGTCACACAATGAATTGGAAACAACCCACCAGATCCATCACTCCAATTTCATCAACCCAATGATATATTTTCAAAGCACTAGCACAGTAGCGCCCTCCTTGCTGGCCGGCCTCCCCCACGGAGGCATCCGGTCATCGGAGGAAAGATTAACAAGCGACTGACGTATATAACAGCGAAAGCTAAGAAAGGTGACCCATTTCATAAAGTGTTCACAATAAATTTATGTAGAATGATGACCTTCATATCGGCCTTACACCATAACCCCTAATCATCCAGTTCGAATACAGTAGGAGTTCAAGTTTTGACAAGTCAATCAACCCACATCCTTGAAAGGATTTATGGATTTCTTCTCCATATAGGACTGCGATAGAGAAAGCAGTAGCCGCATGCTCTGAAAGCCAGAAGAAAGTGGAGGACTTGTTTTGTCTGGAACAAACTAGTATCCTCCTGATATCCGTGCTGTGGAAAACTGGGTATCTAGTCACCTGCAATGATCTCAAAACAGTTTCAGTGAGGTCACTAGAGCAGCATGGTTTGAGGCCTGAAAGTTCAGCAATATGTAAAAAGTACTGGCGTGCAACTTCTGTGTAACTAAATGAAACAGATTACAGAATGCACCATGCACCACATTCACTTTTGATATGCTCTTAATAAAAAAGGTCAGAGTGAATAGTTATTGAGTCACTGCTTGCAGTAGCCAAATACTGAGGCAGGGATGTTTGGGGCGATAAGTACAAAATAGGAAGACATAAATAGAACATAAGCAGAAGGGAGTGACCTACACAGAGATGCTAAATTTGTAAGCACTTAAACTACAAAGTTGAATCAGAGCCTTACAAGTTGACAATGATAAATGAAGCGCCTAGTCTTATCAGTAAATGACCGGAATTTCAGAACCTTGATCTTTAGGCATGCTAAGCTCGAATAGTTCTCAAACCCCCTAATCTAATTCATCAACATGATTGAAAGAAATCAGGTCACAGAGTAGCAAATGAACATTGCAGACCTTAGCGGATGCCAAATATCTCTTGTGGAGGATCATAAACATTCTTTTCAGGAAAGAGCTCTTCGTAATCTTGCTTCACTCTATTCCTCAAGAGTGGATGTGGCAGAAGGCCCTTCAATAAGATTCTGAAGGGCAACTCCTCCGGGGGATCCGGTGATTGCTTCATGTCTTCGTAGATGTTCATTGCATCAGCAGGGGATCCATCCCTCAAGAAACCCCTGATAACCTCAGTGTACATTTGAGAATCAGGAAACAGACCCTCGTCCCTCATAGACTGCCACAGCCGCATTGCTTCATCCATCTTATTGCCTTTCGTTAATGCAATTATCAGGTCCTTGTAGATAAACCGATCAGGCTTGTACCAGTCTTGCTTCTGTATTACTTGAAATATCTGCCGGTTCAATAAATCGTAGGGAAGCCAAGTCAGGAAACCCATTAATCAAGAAGATCGACAACAGCAGTAAGAGCTTGACGCCTACCCGTACTTGCTCCATTACAAGTTAAAAAACAATTTGAACAAAGTCATTCAGGCATTTCGTCGAACTATACGCAGGCAATACTGACTTGTTCAGGCAAACACATCGAAATGTGCCCAAAAAGCACTAAATTTGAAGGGAAACAAGGGGATTGGATAAGTACGAAAGGACATTCAATACCTTGACCGCTAGAGAGACTTCTTCCTGGCGCTCAAGCTCGCATACGACAGCAACCATGTCCAGTTTCAGCAGCCTGTTAACATGCGATTTAATGAACTTGTCGATCTTTTCTTCGTCGTCCTTAAACCGCTTTAATCCTATAATCACAAAGAGCGCCTCTTTCCCAATCAGCTTCTTGCCTCTCCAGAGAGGGCCTCTAGGTCTCCCGTCGTGGTATTGCCTGAACCCGGAAAGTGAATTGGTAGTAGCATTCAAGTATAACGATGGAACTAGAGATTCTAAAGACGACGGGGTCTGTTTCGTCAAATTACACGGCAACTTCTGGAAGAGGAAAGCCGTCGCAGCTCGCGGGATTCTGGATCTCGAAAAGGCGCGAATCGCCATTAGAATACCTTGGCTTGGAGTGAGCTCTCCGCTAGCTGAGCGGCTACTTAGGGCGTTCAGGAACAAATTGCTCTCCGGTTTTTCTTTGGGAGTTGATAAACATAGCTCTAAACAACAACAAAGTTACACTTTTAACCTTTGGGCAATGTCTATTTTTTACCCAAACCTTTTTCAGATTCTTTTATTTTAATCAAACCTGTTGAATTCCTAAAAATTATCCAAACGTTAACTCTCCGTCAACTTTTCTGTTAGTAATGCTGACTAAGTATGACCATAATAAGTTGACTTCCTACGTGGCGGTCAGAATACCATCATTTACTATTTTTAATAAAAAGATTATCAAAAAAACAAAACAAAATCTCACCTCTCACGTGGACGAAATAAGTAACGGTAACAGAATGAATGCCCAGACTTTGATAAATTATAATATGTTTGGATAATAAATAGAATTTCTATAGGTTTGGTTAAAATAAAAGAATATGAAAAAGGTTTGGATAAAAAATAGACATTGCCCTTAACCTTTTAACATCTTTACCTTTCCTTTAGCAAACAAGCACCACCTTCACTTAGAAAGAAAAAACACTAATTCTCCCACACTCTTGAATTCATCGTCGACATTTGGAAGCCGAAATCGTCGAGCATACGTCCGAACAATGAGTAGCGACTCCGACGAGGTAAAAATCTCGTTTAAAAAAAAAACCAAAAAACCTCAACCTAAAGTAATTTTCGGTTATGCCATGGACGAACCGAAAATCTGCTTCGTTTGGGTCATGGTTGAAACGAAAATTGGTTTCGCTTGATCCACGGTAGAACCGAACCCTTCCTTCGGTTAAGCCACGGTAGAACCGCAAATTGGCTTCGATTAAGCCATGGTGGAACCGAAAATTGTCTTCTGTTGGTGGATTTTGGATTTTTTTAGTTTATATCAAATATTTCTATTCTTTTGTTATGATTTATAGTTTGGTCTATAAGATAGTTTGTTGAATTTTAGTTTATATTATTTTTTAAACTTATGAGCATAATTATTTGTGAAATTGAATGCTTTTGTATACAAAATTAAGATTAGATGTATAATACGCAAATAAAAAAATAGAAAAATCTAGAATATGATTAATATTATTCTTACACTAGACGTATAGTATGTAAATAATAGAGAATGCTAAATTTTGTCATGTTAAATGTTGGATTTTGCTTAGGAGAATATAGAGAATGCTAAATTATTTGTGATAATTGTTAAATTAAATGTACTCGTTAGATTTTCTATTATTGTGGAGCCCTATTTATATCATGAGATCTAACATTGTAGGATATTGATGATTACGGAGGAGATGACAAAGATTACACCCAATGCAGTCAAAATCGCGTTTTAAAACTTAAAAACTTACGATTTTACGCTTTTAGGTCACCAAAACGCTTTCGTTTCCATATAAAAACTTAAGAGTATAAAATCGGACTAAATTGCGCTTTAAAACTTAAAAGCTTATGCTTTTACGCTTCTAGTTCACCAAAACGCTTTACGTTTTTACGCTTTTAGTTTACTAAATGAGTATTCTTTTCATGAAATTAATTATAAAAATTATATTTTACAAGTAAATCACCAACAATATGATGCATTTGAGATAAAAGATACATATCAGGTACTTGGATACATTCTCAACTTCAATAGAGTAATAATTCACCAGCTAGGCTCTTCTCGAATTCATTAGCATAGATGAAAAAGTGGCTTATTGTTAAAATTTATGTTTACGAACTTATTATTAAGATTCTATAAGTTGCTCTACTTTAGGCATGAATTGCATGTATTTATTAACTTATCTAAATTCTGTGCATTTATATTTTACATAGTATATGTCCTACTTAATAGATTTTTAGTTATTTTACAGTATGCGTCAAAAACTTACGCTTTTACGCTTTGATTCTACGCTTTACGATTTTACCCCTTTTCCGCTTCTAGGTAGAATCGCGCTTTTGACTGCATTGATTACACCTTAGAATTTGTCAATGGAGTAAAATACGATACGGATTTGATTGCATATGTAGCAGCTACGGAGATTGCCAAGGGTTTTGGGTTTTATTTGGTGAAGGCATCAAATAAAAAAAATCCAAGTGAAGATAGTAGGCGACGATACTTGAAGTGCACTCATGGTAGGAAGAAAAAAATCAAAGGCTCCTGATTCTGATCCAGATAAGGAAAGGAGGCCTCTTACTTCTTCTGGAAAGCTGGGGTGTGAATTTCAGATCAAGATTGAGCGGTCAGATGATGGATATTGGTTGATACTAGCAGTGGCTAATACAAAGAATCCTTGTGCTAATTTGGGTTTTCACAATCATCCGCTGGAGCTATTTCCGAATGGATCAAGTAAGAGGAATGTTTTGACCAAAGATGATAAGCAATACATCAGACAACTGAGATTAGCCGGTGTCGCCCCAAGGAATATAGGCAGTGAACGAGAGAAAAGAGGAGCATGGAAAGGTGAACAAAAGACATATTTCTAATACATTGTATAAGATAAGAAAAGAAGAGTTTGGTTAGAGGACGGCCTTACAGTACACTTTTCAAGATGCTCGGGAGAAGGGTTACTATGTGCAGTATGTGGGTGACCGTAACGTGCTTACACACTTGTTCCTAGCCCACCTTGAGTCATTATTGATGTTGCGAGCTTGACACCATGTCATCATGATAGATGCAACATACAAGACCAGCAAGTATGAGTTTCCATGGGTTGAGATTGTTGGCATGACACCGGTGGGATTGAACTTTGTCATTGCATCTGCGCTAGTGTATGATGAGACAAAAGAGTCATACCAGTGGCTTCTCACGCATCTGCAACATTTGCTTGGCTCTATCACTCCAGATGTATTTGTCAGTGACAAAGCAGGAGGATTGGTTGAGACCGTGGGGGTAATGTTTCCATCATCGACTCATATACTATGCCTTTGGCATGTAGACAGAAATGTGTGAGCATGGTGTCTAACGGAGGTGAGGAGGACGTCTCATTGTGGGATAGATGCAGCCAAACCGATAGTGGATATGATCATGGCATCTTGGAAAAGGATTGTATATGTCGAAAGTGAGGAAGGCATGAATAGAGCTTTAGACAGTTTCAGGCGTAGTTGGGGAGTACAGTATCCACGTCTTTGGAGGTACTTGTCAGTTGAGTGGTTACCAAACAAGCACATGTGGGCAATATGTTATACAAACCAAGTGCGACATTTGGGTAATACAAGCTCAAATTGGGTTGAATCTGCTCATGCATCCTTCAAGAAGTGGCTTCAATCATCAACTGGTGCAATCGACACGGTTAGTCTCTTAATAAATTTTCATTTATGTCTTCTTTAGAAGTTTTACTTAATCTAGTATCCTAATTTTCTTTCTTTGTTTGTAGGTTTATAAGAAGAACCATGATTACATTGAGGCTCAACATTTTCAAATCCAAAAGCTTCTAGAGGATTCTAGATTAAAGAAGATGTTACTAGCGGACGGAAGACCATTTCGGGAGTTGCATACAAACGTCACTCTATAGGCTACGAGGTTGATGCTCATCGAGGTATCAGTGGAAGGAGCAAGTTGTACATGTACGTTTCCTGCTACCCTTGGTCTCCCATGTAGATGTGCAATGCAGTTAGCACGTTCTGAAAAGCGGGACATTGCCCCATATGAGGTGTTAGCTTTTTGGACCATTATGAACTATCGTGAATCTCCTACTCGGGCAGAGTGGGATGACCATAGTCTTTACCATCGTGATGTCTTCCAAAGTCTAGTACAGGTGGTTCTTGATAGGAGAAATGCGACCATTCGAGGGGCTATTGGCCTACTTCGGAGTCATCTTCATCCTGAAAATGATGGCATTGATGAGCCGCATGGGGGGCTATTGGCCTGCAAAGCGGTGACACACCCACGAGGAAGCACGAGGAGCATCTGGAGCCTGGAGAATCTGGATCGGACGGAAGAGTGGAAAATACTCATATATCCAAGCCTGAAGCAGAGTCAAACAACCACAAATACACTTACTCCCCACTCGTGTGGCCATCCCTAGTTGTCTGTAGAGATAGGTGAGTGCAGCAGCCTCCCAGGCGTAACCGGCCACTCGTTGCTGGTCCTTCAGAAAACATTGATCGCAGGACGGAGGCGATCGCGAATCTTATCCACAAAAAGTGTGGATCCCAACAACACAAACAAGTAACACTGCACCTCAAAATCCCTAATCTTCATTTCTCGTCCACGCACCAACAATCCCTCTGCGTGTATACCACCATTAAGGAACCACTTCGTCTTCCACTTACCACCAACAAGACCATCCACCGGGACCCGAACTAGATCATGCATGTCTAACTTAAGAACATCCGGATGCAGATCATCTCTCATCAGCTCCACCTCAACTGGAATACGAAGAATGTGATAAACGTCGTGGAGAAGAATCGACATCTCTCCAAATGGAATGTGGAAGGTGTTTGTGTCCGGCTGCCATCTCTCCACAAATGTCGTTATCAAAGCTGTATCTAAATGCTGCATCATACACCCTGCCAAGTGGGACAATCCTGTGCCCTCAACCACCTACTGAGAACCCTCTGAACTCAACTCATATCTCCTCAAAGACTCCACACTACCAGATCTATGACAACAATCCAACAACCCACGATCCTGCACAGGGGAAGTCCACAATGCAAAGGCTATGTGACCTCCAAAGCTAGGGATCACATCGGGAATCACAGGTCCACCTGAACACAGTTGAGACTCCGATGTCAGACGCCACGACATGTCTCCCTTACTCCCTTCTTCCTCTTCTTACCATCATCGTCTTCCTCACTACTACGTCTCGCAACGTAGCGTCCATCTAGCCCACGTTGCGGAAAGTGCGAAGAAGCATTAGAAGATGTCCCAACTTGTGTCTTCTTGCCGATGCCTACATCAGATTCAGGTGGGACATGCCCAACCTCATCAACAGCCACATCATCATCATCGTTCATAGAAACTGAATCACTCCAATTAGCCTTCCATGGCGTCGCATCCTCGGGAGTAGGGGTGGAGGTAGTACCTCGACTAAGAGATAACTGTCCCATAGTAGGGCGACCGTCGGGACACC